TTGTTGGTTCATCCCCGGCTCCTGGTGCCACATGTCGAAGTATCCTTGAGCAAGATACTGAACCCCAAATTGCTCCCGATGCCATGCATCGGTGTGTGAATGTGTATGAATGCATTAGTTTCAGTTCGATGGGCTTTGCCATTGCTGTGTAAATGTGTGTGAAAGGGTGAATGTGGCACGTAGTGTAAAAGCGGAAGACTAGAAAGGCGCTATACAAGTACAGGTCCATTTACCATTTACCATTTACCATTACTATGGTATCAGTTTATATAGCAACCTGAAAGTTTGGCTCCACCTCGTTTGGAATATTGTTGAACGTAAATTCTGTATAAGACCATAGTTTCAGTGTCCTCAGTGGTTCTGTACACACACACACACACACACACACACACACACACACACAAATATAAATAAAATGTATATACACCTAATGGTGTGTGTGTGTTGAGATGATGGAAAACACTGCAGTACCAACACTGGTCATATGGAGGTTGTGTGTTTGTGTTTGTTTATTTGTGTGTAGTCATACAGGTGTGTTGTTGTTTATGTGTGTGTGTGTGTTGTGGTGGATTGTACTTAATGGTAACTGAGGCAGTGCAGATGAACACAGAGAAACCAGTCAGGCTGAAAGTTCATTCATAATTCATCAGCACACACACACACACACACAGGCAGGTGTGTGTGTGTGTGTGTGTGTTTGATGTCCATATATATTGTGTTTGTGCAGGGTTTGTATGTGGCTGTTTCTGCTTTACAGTCTAATATAACAGATATTTCTTTAAATTATAGACGTAAACTATTGAACTATAATATTTAAACTATACCTGATTAATTATTTCAACCTCAAATATTAATATAATTATTTCTATCTATCTATTTACTTATTTATTATAAAAACCAATGAAAAGTCCTCGTCGGTCTGGTCATTAATATTTGTAATAATGCAACAGGTTAGAGGTTCCTCGTGAACCGAGTCCATATTGAATAATTTATCAATATATTAGTTTTTATCCATCAGTGTAAATTATACTGCGTGTCGTCATAGTTTTTGTTTTCTAATGTTTTTTAATTTAGTTTTTAGTCTTGAAAAGTCAATTCATATTTTTATGTCAACCATGTGTGTGTTTCGCATGTGATGCATTCAGGGACATGTGTTTTTCAGATGTTTCATGTGATGCATTCAGGGCTACAGGTGTTTTTGGACGTTTCACATGTGAAATTAAAAAAACATTAGAAAACAGCCTTTTTGTAACGCAGTATTTGCAGTGAGTAGTAGCAGTAGTACCAGAAATACTTACTCCATCATTTTAGACAAATTTTTCAGCCGGACATATTTGGTATCTTTGGAAACTTCACGTCACTGTAGAGTCGAAGAGGTTAAACTTCCTGAATCAGACAGACTGGCTTTGATTCAAAGCAAACCTGAGGAAGGAAAAGTTTTATTGCTCCCACTGTGGACTTTATGCAATAAACCTGCGACAATAACTTTTCATCTGATGAAGAGCAGTTCCAGAGGAAACTTTATTGTGGCTGCTTTATTGAATGAGGAACGCAGAGGGAGAAATAAAGAGAGACGGTCGGCTGTGTTTTTCCTCAGCAGACTGAGGACGTTATGTTGGTCGCGTCATAAAAAACATCTTTAATAACCTGCAGCTTTATATCTTCATCTTAAACACATGAACTCGATTCCAGCTCTGTGCGTCTGTCAGGGGACGTTAGAAACAGGAAGGAGACGATTGATAAAGCACAGACGTGACGTATGCTCGGCCTGTTTCTGAGGTTTTTTATTTATGTGTTTTTATATATTCATGCATTTGATACATACAAATATTTAATTTTGAAAGTTAAAGTATAACTCTAGTTATTTTTCTTAATGTTCAGACTCAAACCAACAGTGAATGTATCCACTAACAAGTATTGTGTGTATCAGCGCCTGATATATCGTCTTCTTCTTGATACAAACTACAGTGAGCAGCTGTTTTAGGAAATTACTGAACATTTTGTAAACATGAAACTATGTATTTGTGGAGGTTTTTAAAGTTGTCAGTAGGAACCGATGAGTTTTGAGCTGAGAGCCACAAACAGGAAGTCAGTGTTGAGAGACGGACTAACATGTTGTTATTTGAGTGTAAACATGGTAAATAATAAATAAATATATAAATAAAATATAATAACAGCAGACTGACGGATACTTTAAGGTTTCTGTGATTATAAAAATACTACAGAGTCGGCTGCAAATAAAATATCAGATGTCAGTTTATGAACATTCAGTGGATCATTGATGTAAATCAGGAACAACAGGGGACCAAACATTGACCCCTGAGGTACACCAGGTTCCACACATTGTTGGTTTGGGAGTAAATATGGAATTTGTTGATAATAAAATAGAAGAACAACAATAAGTTAAACTCTTATCTTCCACTTATACTGTCATTTTGCGAAATTATTTTAGCACAATCTGTACAGCTCTTCATTCATATTGTCTCTTTTTATATTTGTCTATATTGTCTTATATTTTTATGTGAAAACCTACTTTGCAATGAAA